CTACACTTATGCCCCTATTATGGTGCAGTAAATTAATTAACCCCACTGGTGGATAATACTGTCTGGGACAAGTACTATCCTACAGCAGAGTTATTTAGTCTGCCAAAACACACGTGTAGATGGTGACCAGAGCTGGCTGGGGCCTGAGGGTGCTTCAGTGTGAGGTCTGCCTGCCCCGCACACTTTAGCACCCTTGTGCCCCAGCCTGCCCCTCTGCAGCATGTTGAGCCAGGGAAGAGCAGCTTCAGGCTGGCAGGCTCACCCCCTGGCCTGCAGCTAGCTGGGGCTGATTCAACTCAGCTCATTGTGCTGTGATCCCAGGACCACATATAAAACACAGTGCCCAGGAGCAATAAACTCCAATACGAACTGTACTGGAGTTTATTGCTACATGCTAATTGCATGTGTAGATGCACCCACAGAAGTTAAATTTACAGCAGGGATATGGAAAGATAAATGCCAGAGCAAAGTAAAGGTTTTTAAAGCAGCCCAAAATTAATACAGTAGTTATTATCCTAAATGGAAATTTATAGCCCAAATTTTTAGCAGGTCTCCAAACATGTTGGTGCATGATTATTCGTCAACACGCAAATGGACCACTGTGCCTACAGATTAAGGAGCCAACATACAACGTCAGAAGTAGAGCCCACAAACCTTATAAGTTATTTCACCGAGACTTTCTGAAAATTGGAATCCATGGCTTTGCCATTTACAGCACTCTTCGTTGTTTCTTCATGCTAAAGCAGGGGACCAGAGGTGATTTCTTTATAGATAAAATAGACTTATGTGTGGATGTGTGACCCACTGTCAAAGTGTACATAGGTTATACATGGTATAGGTGTCCAACTTAAAGCATGGGTTTGTAATTTAACTTGACCAGAAACATATACCAGTAGTTATTCCTCCCTCTTAAAGATTTGTGACTTTTAATTAAATGGTCCTCATGTAGGAATACAGAAATCACCAAGTACATGATGAGATTATTATTGAAACCATTATTTAAGTTATTGATGAAAACATATTAAATTACTGAAACCATTATTTACTTATAGGATAGCAAACGGATAAAATCTGATAGGCAGAAAACTGAATGTTAGATAATGTGTGTCAGTACTTTATTTTTAAAACATTATTTATTAATGAATCTAACCCTTAAAATAACAGATTTAACATTAAAAAACATATCCAATCCCCCAAAATATACACAAAGTCATTAATCTTCTATCAACAGTGCTAACACAACTCAAATCAATGTCCACAGAAGTTTTACATTACCTTTCTCTCTGTTCCCCAGTCTCTAACAGTTCCAAGCCCCGTGTTTCATCTTTATAGAATAATTCACCCCCATCTTTTCCCTGGAATGCTACATAAAAAAAATCTCATTACCTTCTTCTCCCCTCTGCTTGTAATTTTTTAATTTATTCTAAGTTTATTCTAAAGTGTTCACTCATAGACCTTGCATGTCAATATTCAAAAATGTTGCTCACATTTTCTGGTTTGGAGGTAGGAAAAGATATTTTTAGCAAATTCCAAAAATTTCCAACAGATTTTCAAGAAAGCATGTTTTTGCCTGCTCCCCTGTAGAACACTGACTTAATAGGGCAACTTTTCCATTACTAAAACTTCCCAAAATTGTTTAAATCAGTCCATAATTTTAGGGGTGTCACTTCTCTTCCAGGCTTTTGCTATTGTAACTCTTGCAGCCACCAGAAAATGACTGATTGATTCCCTATGACACATTGCAGAGTTCTCAGGAAGGTTCAGTAGGAACACTAAAGCTAGGGACAGAAATTACACATAAACTGGTATAAGTGACAGGAAGCCAGTTTAAATCTGTAACATAACAGAAGTTCAGTGCATACAAACCACTTTCAAAATCACTAAAACCAGTTTAAGATAAACCTGGATAGGTGGAGTATCAGACTTAACTGATTTAGGTTAAATCAGTTTATTAAAACTTCTGTCCCAGATCCTCTCCCCTAGATTCAAGTTAACTCACAGTCCCCCAGCATCCCAGGATGCTTTGCACCTCCCCAGCAAACCCCTTCTTGCAGGATGGGCAAGCTTGGCCCAAGCTTTCTGCCCCAGCCAATCAGGAAGGCATGCTCTAGCACCCCCTGGCTTGTGGTGTGGGCCACTGCAGGCATGTGGCTGCATTTCGAGGATTAAAAGTGAGCGTCTATTCACTTGCTTATCGGTTCAATCTACACAGTTTAGACAAAACTGTGAAGATCGAATCAATTCAGCCTTGGGCTTTTTGACTGCCTGTACTTAGCCTAAGGAGTTACCAGATAATTGGCATCCCATTATTCTCCTCACTATGTCTCCAACCTTCTTCCAGAACAATTTAATTCTGAGATATGTCCACTACATGCAGTACAATCCTCCCAGCTCACCATACTCCCTCTGACATTTGCCTGTTCCTAAATTATAAATGCATTTAATTTTAAGTGGGATAGGATACCATTAATACAAGATTTTAAAATAGTTTTCTTTTATGAATATAAATGGATATGTGAGAACCATTGTTCCAGATGGCCTCCCATTCTTCAGCATTAATTTCTGACCCGATATTGTTAGGTCACCTTGTCATAAATAGTGTTTTTCCTTCTATATGGTTATTCAAAATTGTTTTATATAATATAGGGAATAGGCCTGTATGTTTCATAGGCATGACCAATATTTTCTCAAATTCTGACAGCTTTTTACTGACGTTTATTTTTCTTTGGGAGTGTGTTGCAAACTGTCTGAATTGCAAATATTTAAAAAATGGGATTTAATGTCATTTTTAACGTTGCTGTATTTTTTCAAAAGATCTAATTTTTTTTAAAATCGTTCAAAATGTATTATACCAATATCTTCCTGGATAGTAAAGCTTTCTAATACATTATTAAGGTTAAATTTAATATAATTATGCATGGGTGCTAAAGGTGATGAAATAAGAGCTTAATTTCTTATATGTGTTATCCCAGGTTTTCACTGCAGTTTTCATAAAGGAGGGATTACATACAGAGTTTAGTCTGAAAGATTTATTTAGACACAGTAATATGTTAAGTTTTCTGGACAGTACATCTGCTCTATTTTTACTCAATGCTTACTATGAGTTGGTGTTATCCAATACACCATGTTTCTAAGTTGGCTGACTTTGTAGTAATATTTAATGTTTGGAAGCATCAGTCCCTCTTTTTGCTGAGGTCTTTGCAGGATAGAATGTTTAAATCTAGGTTTCTTATTTGCTCAAATATTTTTTTTTACCCTAGTCTGCTGGCACTATAATAGATAGAGTTTGGCATAAAAAATTAATATCAGTGCTTTATTGACAGAAGGTACATATCAATTGCATATGCACATATTATGGCAAGAATACACACAGCCAGACATTCTGTTCTTCTGTTCACTGTTGACAGATAAGACTGTGATATTGTTTTCTTGCTAAAGCTTTTCTCTAATTCATCCTTGAAGGATGACTGATAACATGCCTTGATCAAGGGACAATTTGAACAAACAAACAAACAAACAAACCTTTTTGCGGGGGGGGGGGTGAGGGAGAGATCCAATTCCATTTTTCCCCCTCTCTAAAGTCATTCTAACAGAAAGCAGAAATAGGCATCATCAATATCTCTGATTCGTACTAGTGGACTACTTAAGCCAATCAAAAGCATCTTTCATTGTTTGACAGAGCACAAAAGACACTCTGTTGGGAAAGTTCAAGAAAGAAAACTGAGAGCCTGAGGCCTGGTCCCACAGTCAAAGGCTGAAACAAGGACTGAGAAGTTCTCAGGAAGAATCTGATCCAATGCCCTTTGAAGTCAATGGGCATTAGACTTAAAGCAAAGCCTTAGATCAAGCCACAAATGTATAAAAAGAAACAGTTATAAAAAAAAAGTTTGGAAATAAGCATCTGGGAAGAGGGCAATTTTAAGCAATGTGATAGCAATCTAATCTGCCTGTCATGGTTATCAGTTCAGCATCTTTTTGTGATGCCTGAGAAACCAGAATTTTCAGAGAATTTCCTTTGGGAATGTTTTAAATTGATGTGCAGGTATTTTCCACTAAAGATCCAATTCACAAGAGCATACTGAGCATAATGACCCTAAATGTCCAAAATGCTAATGATGTTTTTATGACTATAAGAGCCATATATATTGTACTACTGGTCGCATTTGTTGTTTTAGAAATAAAACCTTTTACAGAAAAGGATTTTAAACAAAAACTAACAGAAACACCCCTATTTTCTGTATGTAAGAAATGTAATTAGCATTCCTATTCCCATTCCTAGGTTTAATACACTCATTGCTCACATTCACTATTCAAGAAAGGCTATTTTAAGTTCAGGAAAAAATACAGTGGTTATAAAATCCTATTTAAAACAATATCACCAGGAACAAAAATGCTACTTACAGTTATGTGTAAAAATAGGTACGAGACTTCAAATACAAAATCAACTCTAAAAGAAATATTCAAAAGTTTGTGCTTAAAACAACTGGGAAAGGATCCCAAGCATATATGGGTTTCAGGTAGCATGCTTAGTTTGCTTTGCAATCTATTTACTTCTTCATTACATAACAGAGGCAAGGGAACATCCGAAAGAAAAAAAAATAACAAACAATTTGCTAAAGCCTACCATTTCAACACTTCAGTAATGATAATCTGAAATAGAATAATAATAATTGCTGCTGTGGTTTTTAATTTCATTGCTATTTATAGATCCTTACATCAAATGGCACTTTCCTGGAGCAAATTTCTTAGATTTTTTTTTTTGTAACCCTTATACAAGACTCAACAAAGAGCCCAAAAGTCTTTTATTCAGAAAATTACAATGTTTCCTCCCTCCTTGCCTAATAGAATCCAACTGTTAGAGCATGACATCATTCCCCAGAGCCGGGGAGTCCAAACTCACACAGACTTTCAGCCTGCAGTAAACACCATGCAAAAAAAAAAAAAAACTTTTCAAGGGGAGGAGGGCAGGGGAGAATAAAATAAAAGGGATTTTTTGTTACCTGAAATTTGCAGCATTTCCCTTTCCGCTCCATTCTCAGGTTTGTATTTCCCAGACAAAACTTTGTCCTATTACCTGATGCACTTAGAAACCAGTAGTTAAGGGTCTAATACCTGCTGTGCTTCCCACAACTCCTTCACATGACCTTTCACAGCACTAAATGATTCCAACTAAAATGATTGCAAAGAACGCAGACTGGCCCAGCAAGTTGTCATGGAGATCTCTCTCTCTCTCACATGCTCACGCGCACACACACACGCACTCACTCTCTCTCCCTCATACTCACACACGCGCTCGCTCGCATGCACACACACACACACACACACACACACACAATTCTGGGAGGAATCCATGAAACAGCACGCCTTTTCATCAACAAAGTTTTTCAAGCATTCCTCCCCTCCTCCCAGCTTTCTCTCGAGTCAACCCAGGAAACTGAGCTTTGGTCATGAATCGATTGTTGCAGTTATAGAGACACACTGCTTTTCAAAAACAACATGGAGCTTTGGGAACTTTTTTCCCCTAGAAGGAGAACTGAGATGTTTGGTTGCAAAAGCTTTGTAATCACAGCAATCTTGCGTGTTCTAGCCCAGCAGCTATTTATCTTGGTTTGGTTTGTTATGAATTTGATACTGCAGCAGGAGCCTTAGCTGAAATACAATTAAGCAGATTACACAAAAAGCTCCTCTCAAACCTGCTTGCTTACCTTGCTGCTTGCCCAGTAGCTAGTTAGTGTCTTAATTAGTGCAGGGATTCCTGGTGGTCATGAAGAGCTTCCTGTATTCTTTCATGTTTCTGTAATTAAGAAGACAAGTTCGTGCATCAGGTACATGGCATTATTATGACCCAGAACAGGCAGCTGTGTCTCTCACACATTTCTCCTAGCCAGGGACATCAATCTTCCCAGAAATTGCCTATGCTTCTTCCACACATACGTGCTTCATTTTATTGTGGAAAATTATTTACAGCAGAAATAGGGAACTGTGAAATTGAAACTGTGAAAATTCTTAACTGACCATAAAAGGAACCCACTCATTTAAGTTCCTGCATGAATCTAAGTTGCTCATTTGAGGTCTCTGTCGTGTTGTGTTCCATGTTGGGGACCTTAGCTGGATGGGAAGTGCACAAAAAGTTATTATGCTTCTTGTTATAGCTGGAATGAACTGTGCCTATGGGTTTGAGTCAATGTCTGTAGGCACACGGGGCCTGATTTTATTCTACCTGTTAGGTCAGTAACAGGATTTAGGCACTACATGTGATCTCTTCCACCCTACTTGAATCTCTGAAAAACATACTACAAAAGCTAAGAGAGTCCTTCTCCTCCTCGCCTTTTTTTTTTAATTTGAAAGCCAGCTTCAAAATCAAACAGAAGTTTATATTAAAGACAATCCTTCTGATGTTATAAAAACCTTAGTTTGTCTGTCTGTCCTGCTTTATTTGCACTCTGATTGGATGCTTCCTTGGAGGCAGCGGGAGCACGGGGTGCTGGCTGCACAGTGCTGGCCTCACCCCGCCCCGCATGGTGGAGCACCACCACAACGGTGGGGACTGGGGCTGGAACAGGGGGGCGAGGCCAGCGGTGCTGGACTCGCCCCCCCACCCCGTCCCTGCCCCTTGGAGCCAGGGGTCCCAACAACAGCCAGCGGGGAGGGGGAGGGGGCGGGGAAGAGTG